TATATATATATATATTTAAGTTGCATTGTTGGAGGAGCCTCTCTAGCTACTGTGCATATGACAATAAAGCCTTTGAATCTTGCCAGTCATATCCTGTATTTCAATATTCCTGTTGCTGCTTAACATCTGCATTCCCTACATAGAGATCATACGGTTTCTTCTTTATCTTGATCATATCTTAAACATGTAGGCTACTCGATAAAGAGGACTGCAGTGTTTTAAATATACTTTAAATTACACTTGTGTTTAGGCCATTTGTTAGTTAGACTAGATGAAATAACCATGCATACCTTATTCTACTGGATTGAGGCTTTGATTTAACATGACATTTCATATTGAGTAAAAAAGAAGCACTCAGCTGATAGTAAAACGACAGCACAAGTCTTGGGGGGGGGAATAAGCGATCCTGACTTCAATCCAAAATCGTTGGACCTGTTATGGTTTCCTCGTGGCTAAGGTATCCAGCAACTAGTAGCTTGCCATTTAGCGCCATCTCTCGATTAAAAGTAAGGACGTCCTCTCAGTGGTTACGCCATTACGTCATTACGTAAACATTTTGTGGACGTGGCGTAAATTGAACAGTAACAACTCAACGGTAGCTAGCTAGCAGTTAGGACGGTATGCAAAGGTGAGACCAAAGAGAAGGGAAGTATGGATATAATCCAGGTCAACTGAATGATTGCTGTTCATCTTTTCAGGTAAAGATTATTGTTGGAGACTTACTCCAAATATATAATTCACCAACTGTGACAACGGACCATACGTTTCTAATCACAATGCACAGGGCGATGCTACTTAGCACTAGCCTAGCCTGTGTAAAGGGTTCATACTTTGCTAACTTTTCAGCAACCTGACAGTTATTTAACACGTTATTTGCCGGAGTAAACGTGTTATCTAGTTATTCCTGCTGGATAACTATATCTCCTATACTTCTGTGGGGTGAGAGACTGAGAAGTAGTATTAGCTATTTTTCATTTCCACTTTGTTATTTAAATAGTTTCTAACCTGTGGTCTTAGTCACATCAGCCTTGCAAGCTTAGCTTTTAACGACACCCCTGCGTGCTTCTAAACAAAAATAATTGCAGTTGTACATATATAGACAACATGTATGATTGTTAGCTGCTCAGCAGAGGTGGAAGAAGTATTCAATAACTGCACTTAATTGAGAATAGAAATGCCAAAGAGCAGGAACACTCTGTTACAAGTAAAAGTCATGTATTGAACATGTTACTGAAGTAAAAGTACAAACGTGTTGGCATCAAAATATCCTTAAAGTAAAAGCGTTCATTATGCAGATCGGTCCATTTAATTTATATCTTCCAAGTAACCAAAGCTACAACATAAATGTAGTGGAGTAAAAATACTGATTAGTAGTGGAGTGGAGCTCAGGTAAAGTACAAGTACCCCAAATTGTACTTAAAGGTGGGGTAGGTAAGTTTCAGAAACCGGCTCGAGATACACTTTTTGTTATATTCCATGGAATGCTCTTAACATCCCGATAGCATTGAATATATTAAGTGCTTTGACAAAAAATCCATAAAAAAATGTCATCTGTGGAACCAGTAATACTGTAAAAACTACAACCAATGGATTGCCGCCCTGTCTGTCAGCCTTCCATCTCGTGCCCTCATTGGGCGTGCCGTCATTGGGCGTGCATTGCAGCAGTACTTCAATGACTCGCCAGCAACAGGCGACAACTTTCACCATGGCAGTTAGGTTCAACATCGTCTACTGGTCGCAAAAGAAAAAATGTAACGGAGCAAATTAAGAACAAAAAGAAAGTGGAAACTAGGAGAAGTCAAACCAGAGTCAATATCGGAGTTGCTTTGGCTGTGTAGTATTGCTAACCTAGATGTGTTTAGCTTTGCCTGATATGTAACGTTACTGCAGCCTGCTCTCGCGGAGGAGGTGCTCTGTAAGGAAGTCTGAAGGAAGGGGCGGATTCTTTTTGGCTGTGTACTTTCAAATTTTAGTGCACTCGAGCCGGTTTCTGA